GGGGGGGGGGAAGAAGAGAGAAGGAGAGAGAGGAAGGAGGGAGGAGGGAGGAGAGAGGGAATCTAGGCAGGAGAAGCTCTACTGTCATCCACAAAGCTCATGTGGGGGCTCGAACTCATGAACTGTTAGATCATGTCCTGAGCAGTCAGGCATGGCCTTTAGGCCACCCAGGTGCCCTATTCCATTGTTATATATGCCACATTTTCTTTCATTCATAGATGGACAGGAGGTTGATTCCATGTCTTGGCACCATTTGTGAATAGTACTACAGTAAACATGGAGTACAGATATGCCTCCATATCTTCGCATATAAGTGAAATTATGTTTTTTAAACACTCTAGAAGCCTGGGTGGCATGATGAGTTAAGCGTCCGACTTCAGCAGAGTCTTGATCTGTGGTCTGTGAGTTCGGAGTCCTTGTCGGGCTCTGGGCTGATGGCTCAGGGGCCTGGGCTGTTCCGATTCTGTCTCCTCTCTCTCTGCCTTCCTCGTTCATGCTCTGTCTCTCTGTCCCAAAATAAATAAGCATTTGAAAAAAAAAAATAAAAAATAAAAAATAAAAAAAAAAAAAAGTAAACGCACCTCTAACTGAATTTGTTTTATTTGGTAAGTTTAGTAGAGCCTTATTTTTTGGTCTCCATGATTTACCTCTTTGCCTTGAGCTTAGATGATGGAATTCCTGTTGTGGGACTTGCTGCTCTTAAATTTTTTTTTCAATGTTTTAATTTTTTTTTGGGATGAAGAGACCGAGCATGAGCGAGGAAGGCTGAGAGGAACACTAAAAATCGAGCAGGCTCCAGGCTGACCATCAACCCAGGGAAACTGACGAACTCAGCTCACGGACAGCAGAATCTGTCCTAACTGAAATGGGGCAGCTTTCTTCCCATTCATCTGGCGCCCCTTAGAGATACACTGTGTTTATTTTTGAGAGCATGCAAGCTGGGGAGGGACAGGACACAGGAGATCTGAAGCAGGCTTCAGGCTCCTGGCCTGTTAGTCCCTGAGCCTGACTCAGGGGCTTAAACCCACCAGTGTGGGATCATGGCCTGAGCGGATTGGGCTGACAACCTCGAGCTACAGGTGCTGGCTGCTCTTATTTGCACTCAGGGCGTGGGTCTTTGCCCAGAAAGTACCTGTTGGTTGGTTGAAGATGTTAGTGGAAGTATTAAGCATTTAAGTGTCGAGAGCCTGGGTGGCTCAATTCGGTTAAGTGTCGACCTCAGCTCATGTCATGATCTTACGGTTCGTGGGTTCCGAGCCCGCGCCGGGCTCTGTGCTGACAGCTCAGAGCCTGGAGCTATTTCAAATTCATGTCTCCCTCTCTACTGCCCCTCCCCACCGTGCTCTCTTTCTGTCTCAAAAATAAATAAATGTTAAAAAAAAATAAAAAAAAAAAGAAAAGCATTTAAGTGTCACAGTAATAAAATAGCCACTTTTTTTTTTTTTTTTATGAAACCTATCTTAATAATGCTTTAAAGGGGTATTTAGACTTAATAATAATTATTTTAAAAAAATCTTCCTGCTGCAAAACAGATAAAAATGTCAGATACTCTGGTGTTGAGTCGGGGTGGCACAGGGGAGAAAAAAAAAAGCCAGTGCTGTCTTTGAGTTAGCAAAAACCATATAATTGGTCTACTTAGGGGTTTAGGACTGAGTTCAAATCACCTTTGTGGTCCCTCAAACCCTCCACCCACTGGATTGAGAATTTATTTTGAAAACGCTGTTACGGGTTAGTATTACTCCTAGGCATCTGCAAAAACAAATGGAAAATTTCTCAGAAATCGATTTTTAATCAAGGTATTAAAGAACTATGACAAATAAAGTTCTACTAGACAAGTTATAATAAAACAAATCACAAAGCACAGAGAAGCAGACTTAAATTGAGACCAGCAGAAATAACAACAGAAAGCTGACCTGCAAAACTTCATTTGTTAGAATTATTAAAATAAGAATATAAAATAAATGATAATTTTAAAAGAAATAAAAGAATTGAAAACATGAATTAAAGAAAGCAGGCCTAAGTAATCCATTGAGTGAAAAGGAACTTGGAGAATGGGAGAAATGTTAGAAAACTATGTGATCTGAAAGAGTTCAGTTCCACAATATATAAAACTCGTCAATTCAATAACAAACTGGTTAAAAGGACCAGAGCAGACCTTTTTCTAAAGAAGATGCATGCTTGGCGAACAGGTATATGAAAAGATACAGTGTCACTAATCCTCTGGTAAATGCAAATCAAAAACCACAATGAGCTATATGACCTCATTCTCGTTAGAATGGCTATACAGAAAAAACAGCTAGTGTTGGCAGAATGGTTTTGGAACTTTTGGATCTGTAGAGTGGGAAGAAAAATGAAAACCTGGCCACTGTGCAAAAAAGCAGTGCGGAGGATCAAAAACTAAAAGTAGAAGTACCATATGATCCACCAATTGTAGGTATTCATCTAAAAGAACCCGAAACAGGATCTTGAAGAGGTGTATGCTTCCATGTTTATTGTAGCACTATTCACGTAGCCAAGATGGGGAAACAAGTTAAAAGTGTCCATTGACGATGCATAGTGGGGAAATGTGGTATATATTAGAATGGAATATAATTATTAGAAATCCTGTAATAATGTGACAACATGCAGAGCCTTGAGGATAAATAAGGCTAACCAATTAAAGATGGACAAACACTAGCTAATTTGACATGTAAAGGGATTCTAAAATAATCAAACTCATGGAATCCAAGAAGTAGAATTGTGGTTGCCAGGAGTTGAGGAGAGGGAAATGAGGAGTTGCTGATAGAAATGCATATAAAATTTCAGTTGTGCGAAGATGGGTAAGTGCTGAAGTGCCTATGAAGCAGTATTACTAATAGCGATGCTGTAGTTCACACTTAAAGTCTGTTAGAGGAGCCGATCTCCCATAATGTTATTACGATAAAATAAGCTAAAGGAAAAGAGGTGAGACTACAAAAAATGGCCCAGCAGATTTGAAAAAGAACCCAAGCACAACAGCAGAGCGTGAAAGTGAACAACTTGATATTTAAAGTTCAGTGGCTGAACAAACCATGATTAGGCGTGTTCAACAGAGTAGGATTGAATCGATTGGAAGAAATGAGTAAGAATGAAGCTGCTTACGACAAAAAGGAAATAAAAAAGAAAATATGAAGAGATTAAGACCACCTCTGTGGTAGATTTGGCCGATCAGTGTTCGTCTAATCAGATTCTAGGAGATGATAGAATGGGAGAAGGCGTGTTGGGAAATAATGGTTAAAATTTTCCAGGATCCCTGAAACCCAAGATCTAATTTAGATTCCAGGAGGCCTAACTATCTGAGCTGGGTAAATAAAGGAATTGAAACTACACTTAGACACTAAGGGTAAAGAAGATCTTAAAAGTTGACCAGAGAACTAATAGAATATATCTACAAATATTAGACTGACTGACATGCCCAAAATCAGACATTAAAAATATATATATATTCAAGTTCTTGGAGAAAATGGCCTAGAGTGTGTACTCCAGCGAGAATCTCTTTTAAGACGAAGCACTAAATAAGACTTTTTTTTTTAGACCAAAAAAAAAAACCCCAAAAAACAAAAAGAAATTTTACTACGTGTAGATCCTGGTAAAGACACTTACAAAAGATGGCATAGCTGGAAGCCCAGGCATCCCAGAAAGAAGCTCTTCTCTAAGGGACCTGAGCAAGAGAATGGTTTCACACTTGAGCTATGTTGGAACAAATTCTGACCAATAGTAGCAGTGATTGCTCATAATGTTCCTGAGGTTAAAGACACTCCCACACGAAAAGAAGCCCCGCCCCTCCCCAGCCCCCACTCTGGCTCTCTCAAGGAAATATTTTTAAAAAATAAAACTCTTAAAAAAGATATACAATGGAATATCATCACTTAAAAAGGAAATCCTGCCATTTGCAACAGGTGGATGGACCTTCAGGGCATTACTCTAAGTGAAAAGTCAGATACTAAAAGACATATAGTGTAATAACTCACACGTGGAATCTAAAAAAGCCAAACTTGCAGAAACAAAGTAAAATGGTGGCTGCCAGGGGCTGGGGAAGCAGGGAGTCAGGGACAGGGAGGATTAGGAGATATTCATCAAAAGGTATAAACTTCCAACTATAAGTTCTGGAAGATCTAGTATACAGCATGGTGACTATAGCTAACAATACATTATTATATACTTGAAAGGTGCTAGAAGAGCAAGTCTTAAATGTTCTCACCACACATCAAGTTGTACTCATGTCAAGTAAGGTATGTGTTAACCTTACTGTCATATTTCATTACAGATACGTTTATCAATTATCTGTACACCTTAAATTTACACAATGTTCTATTTCAATTGTAGATCAATAAAGTGAGAAAAAAATTTTAAGTCCACTTCAAATATATTATTAGGAGCCAGGAGAAAAGTATTTTCTATTATAAATACTGCTTATGCTATCAGAAATAATCTTATGCTGTACTGACCTTTCTCATAGCACTTTCAGAAGCAAAGCTTTTATACTCACTTGTAAAAGTAAAGTTCACAGATGCAGCTCACAAAAGCCAGGAGACATCGTAAAAAGTAAAAGACAAGAATCTGAAAGAAACCAAGAAGAAGACAACAGAAGTCATAGAAACAAGAAAACTCAAGATAAAACCACTCTCATTTGTTATTAGTAACACTATGAACTGGTATAATCTTCCTGAAAGGCAGTATTATCAAGAATCATAAACATTTTCATACCCCTAGATCCACTGTACCTATTTCTAGGAGTCCAGCCCACAGAAGTAACTGAAAATATGGAGGGGGGTGGTTAGTTCTGCTCATGCAAATGGTCACTGCAGCACTATTAATTTAAGGGGGGAAAAAGAACATTTAAAAAAAAAAAACTACACAATATCCGATTACAGGGCAATCAGTCAATTCTGCTACATACATTTCATGTACTATTACACAGATAAAATTTATGGTTACAGAAACAAAGAATTCATAGGATATAAAACTCCTACATTCAACAAACATTTCCTAAATCGTTATATATTGATAATTACCAGTAATTACAAAATGCCAGGTAAAAATGTACATTATTATTTACACATCACAATCACAGCTTTGGAAATCAGAAGCATATGAAAAGGCTGAAAAGAAATGTGATAAAATGGTAAAGGTGGTATGAAGGATGGAATCTGGATGACAATGATGTGTTAATACAGGTTCATGGATTGTAACAAGTGTATTACTCTAATGGGGGATGTGGATACGGGGAAGGCTATACATGTGTGGGGGCAGGGTGTATATGGGAAATCTCTGGACCTTCCACTCAATTGTTCGGTGTCTAAATTGAACTAAAAATAAAGCATATTAGAAAATAAATAAATGATAACTAACTAACTAAATAAATAAATAAATAAAATGGTAAAGGTGGCTAAATCAAGCTGGTAGGAGTTAGGTGCACATTTTCCCTCTTACCTTCCAAATACCTGTAATGTGATTTTATTAATTTTATAATTAAAAACATCGATTTAAAAAATAAACCTAATAGGGTTCTATTGAATAGCTTTCATATTATAGCACACTGGTATGTTGTTTTAATTTTTTTTTTTAATGTTTATTTATTTTTGAGAGAGAGAGAGAGAGAGAGAGAGAGAGAGAAAATGAGCAGGGGAGGGGCAGAGAGGAGGGGAGACACAGACTCTGAAGCAGGCTCCGGGCTCTCAGCTGTCAGCACAGAGCCCTATGCAGGGCTCAAACCCACCAACCACAAGATCATGACCTGAGAAGAAGTCAGATGCTTAACCAACTGAGCCACCTAGGCACCCCACACTGGTATGTTTAAAAGCCTTGAATACCTCAGAATCTAAGTACTACTGAAATAGAGGTTATAATTAATGTAACTGTATTATATAACTTAAAAATACTTGCCGTTTTCATCACTGTAACCAAAAAATTCCAGAGTTCAATAAAGTGATCCAATAAATACCAGTTTCATTAACTCAATAAAAACACTCTGAAAACCTATTAAACACTGACCACTATTTTAGATGCTCCTAGGAATTCAGATAATTTTAGTACCAAGGGTCCACACGCCTAAGGACCCCTCGTCTAATTAGGCAGAGTACAAAACACATTTACAAAGTTAAAAATTAGCCTGAGTTAATATAAGAGTTTTATTTACAAGTACGGTAACAATGCCTCCACAACAACATCCAACATATAACTAGAAGTCCTGGTTGCTGCAAAATGACAAGAAATGAGGTATTAGATATGGAATAAAAGAAACTAAACTCTACACACACAGATCAAAGAGAATCCAAGAGATTCACCTGATACATGAGTGACACTAATAAGGAAATTCAGCAAGATTTAGATTAAGATCAAAAAACAAAGATCAATTGTATTCCTCTGTATCAACATTGACTAACTAAAAAAAAAATAATAAGGTTCCTTTCACAACAGCAACATAAAGTATTAAGAATGTAAGCCTTAACCTACCCAAGACTGGCTAAGACTGAAATGGGAACATTTAAAAATTTTACTAGAAGACCCAGAAAACCTAACCAAATGGGTAAATATATCATCTTAAGAATGAAATGACAAACCTATACACATTGATTTTCCTATTAATATATAATTCAGTGCAACTCTAATCAAAATGCAGAATTTGGGGGAGGGGCAAACAAATACTGAAATGATTTTTAAAATACAAATTTTCAAACGGACAAAGGGAGAAATTTATCAACCAGATATTTCACACACACAACAAAACCGTAATAATAAAAATATGGCACTGACAATTTGACCAATGACCTAAAATAAGGAAGCCAAAGCAAAGACCCATACATGTGGGAATAAAGTGTATGATAGCTATGCTATCACAAATCAGAGAAAGGATGGATTACTTGACAGGTGGTATGGAAAAATCCAGTTCACTCTATCACAAATAATAAAGCTGGATCTTTCTACCATTTATAAAAACTAATGTTCAAATTGACGTGCCTGCCTGGCTCAGTATGGTGGAGCATGTTACTCTTGATCTTGGGGTTGCAAATTCAAGCCCCACGTTGGGTGTAGAGATTATTTTTTTAAGTATCTTTAAAAAAATATCCAAATGGATTAAAGCCTTATGTGACAGGTAAAACTATAAAGCTAAGCAAATATGTAAGAATATCTTTGTGAACTGTGGTGAAGAGCGATTTCTTTTGCAAAGACCCAAAACCCACCAACCTTAAGTGAATAACTAATTGCGTTGACTGTATCAATTAAAGATTTCTGTTCAACAAAGGTCCACAGCACAGTTAACACAGAGGGGACAGCCAAAAAGATTTCCAGTATCTCAAACCTGTACTTGGTTACTATTGAAAACTTCTACAAATCAGACAAGAAAACCAGAAAACCCAATTGAAAAACAGGCAAAGGATATGATTAGGTAATTCACAGAAAAGGAAAAACAAATGACTATTAAATATTGCACTTCACGTCTAATTGGAGAAATGCAATTAAAATGAGAAACAGCTCACATCCATGAGAAGGGCAAAAATTATCAAATCAGAAATATCAAGTGCTCAGGAGGTGTGAGGTGGCTGAAATGTGGAACAGAGTTGTGCAAGTGTGAAGTTGGATAGCCATTCTGGGGGGCAATCTGGCAGTATCCCATGAAATTAAGTAGCCTATGGATGTATGTATGGGATCCGACTCCTGAGCAGAGTTCGACAAGACAAAACAAAGGTATTCTTGTTTAGAGTGGCAAGAAGTTGGAAAGGTAACCAACACAAAGGGGTGCCAATTATTACCAGATGGTCTTTCAGCAACAATCCACCCTCTCTACTGTGCATCAGGATGCTGGAGCTGGAACTCTATAAGCTAATTCCCCGTTGCCAAGTGGCTTCCGTTGGCAAAACCTAACAGGGAGGAGATTAGAAGAAAGAACAAGAAGGGAAATCTTCATTCCTGTTCTGCTTCCTGCTCGTGTCATTGACATAAAAGAAAGAGTGATGGATTCGGTTGAACATGTCAAATTGCAAGGGACAGTGGATAGCCAAGTGGAAATAAAAGCCTTAAGCACCGCATATTGTTATTTCTCTACGAAGACCTCGTCCTGTATATGTCTGTTCTGCTAAGTTAAAAAAAAAAATGAATTGATAGGGAAGCAAAGGACAGTTTTATCCCTTTCTATAGGTGCTACCTTTCTGATGAGTCTAAAACGCAAATGCCATCTTGTCTCTCCTCTAAAGCCTCTGGATGGGTTCAGAATGCCCTGGGGAGCCAGTGGGCATGGGGAGAAAGCCTAATTCCTTATTAGAGCCTACCAGGTGTTGTATAAATCTGGCCTCCTCCTACCTTTCAGTATCATGCAACTCACTCCACCACTCACTCTCTTCCAAGCATCAAGCCTATTTATATAAGGCCATGCTGGCCCTCTTCCCCGCCTCATGGCTTTCCTCCCGCATCCCCATTTTCCCTTGACCTAGCTGATTCCTACTGAACGTCTAGTTCTCTAATCAGGGACTTCTGCTTCATACAAGGTGGATTAGTTGCACTTTTCCCTATTCCTCCTACTATGTAAAACCAAAAACTCTGCATATGACAGGTAAAGTAAACCTAAGAAGACTCAAGGTAGAGAGAAGATGGCAGACTGCCTAGGGACTTTAGGACCAGAGGAAAAACACAGTGGTAAGTTCCCTAAGTTTTCTTTTTGCCTTATACATTCCAGACTTAGAGCTAAAGAAGGTGGCAGCTAGAAATGCCAATGAGCACAAACTAACACCAACCAAAGCCTGGCTGATCTAGCCAAGACACCAAGCAAGGGCTAGCCTAACAAGACAGAAAGCCTTTAAACAATAACCACTCTACTCCAGCAAAACACCCCCAGCTGGGGGGGGGGGGGGGGGGGGGGATGTAGCCCAACTCCCATCCATGCCATGAAATATCCAGTAGGAAGCCAAGACTTTGATTCTCGCTGGTGATAATGAGCTCCCTCTCTGGACACAGTGTCAGTGGTGACCACTTGGGTAAGCCTGGACTTCCACCTCCTCACCCCACCTAGCACCAGTCAAGTATCCCTTTCCAGGCCACTTGAGCGAAGGTCTAGTGGGGAACCTCAACTTCTACCCCCATCTGACATTAACCAAGGTGGAGAACTCTCTCCCTTCTCCTGCTAGAGGGTAACAAAAGCAGCCAGACCAAAAAGAAGGCTTAAATAAAACCCAAAAAGGCAGAGGAAGCACTTCAGGCCCAGGAAGAAGATTCAGTCTCAGAATGTAATACCCCAAATGGCCAAGGCTTCAACTGAAAATTAGTTGGAAGATGGCAAACTGAAAATTGTCAATCAATAGATACCAATTAGATAAAGGTCAGAATTACCTGACAAACTCTTAAAGGAGCCAATGTAAAAATGCTTCAGTGAGCAATTAAGAACACACTGGAAACAAACGAAAAAAATACAAATTCTCAGTAAAGCAACAGAACATATAAAGAAAAACCAAATGTAAATTTTAGAACTGAAAAAATACAATAACCAAAATAAAATCTTAAAAGATAGGCTCAACAGCAGAATGGAGAGCAGAGAGGAAAGAATTGATCAACTGGATGATTAGAAATTGCTCAATCAACACAGAAAACGGACTAGAAAGAAATTAATAGGGCCTCAGAGACCTAAGGTACTATAATTAAACATCTAACATTGATATCACTGGAATCTTAAGAGAAAACAAACAGAGCAGGGCTGAAGTACTCTGTAAAATAATAGCCAAAATCTTCCCAAATTTAGCAAAAAGATGTAAGCCTAAATGTTTAAGAAGGATAGTAATTCCCGAATAGGACAAACCCAAAGAAATCCATGCCAAGACACATCATAGCAAATTCGTAAAAAGTCATCAGGTTAGGTCTCCATTAACTCCTACTTATTATCCTTCAGCACTCTGTTTAGTCTCCCCTAAGATGCTGTCCCATGGTACCTTGTACTTCTCCGCCGTAAGACCCACTGCATTTCTTTCTTTCTTTTCCATCCTCCCTCCCCCCTCCCCCCATACCCCATCCCCTCACCCCATCCTCCCTTCCCTCTCCTCCCTCCCTCCTTCCTTCCTTTCTTTTCAAGAGAGAATGCAAGCAGGTAAGGGTTAGAGGGAGAGGGATAGAGGGCATCTTAAGCAGGCTCCACACCCAGCACAGAGCCCAACTCCAGGCTCAACCCCACAACTTTAAGATCATGACCTGAACCAAAATCAAAAGTCAGACACTTAACCAACTGAGCCACCCACATACCTCAACCCATAGCATTTAAAATCACTTGTTCAATTTCATCTTCCCCCACTAAACTATAAATTCCATGGGGGCAAGGATTTGGTCACTGTTACACATACAGCTCTTAACAAAGTACCTACCAGATAAAAAGTTGGTCCACTAGTTAATATCCAAAACATGAGAAAAGCTTATATAACCCAACACACACAACAACAACACACAAATAATCCAATTTAAAAAGTGGGCAAAGGGGTGCCTGGGTGGCTCAGTCAGTTAAGCATCCAACTTCGGCTCAGGTCATGATCTCATAGCTCATGGGTTCGAGCCCCACATCGGGCTCTGTGCTGACAGCTCAGAGCCTGAAACCTGCTTCAGATTCTGTGTCTTCCTCTCACTCTCTCTCTCTTCCCCTCCCCAGCTTGCACACTGGCCCCTCTCTCTCAAAAATATTTAAAACAATTTAAAAACCAACAAAAACAAAAAAAAAAACCACAAGAAGATCTCAACTCACACCTGTCGAAATGGACAAAATCACAAACACAGGAAACAACAAGTGTTGTTGAGGATGTCGAGTAAAAAGAACTCATGCATTGTTGGTGGAAATGTAAACTGGTACAACCACTGTGGAAAATAGTATCAAGGTTCCTCAAAAAATTAAAAATAGAATTACTGAATGATCCAGTAATAGTACTGCTATTTTCCCAAAGAAAATGAAACACTAATTCAAAAGTATATATGCAACCCTGTATTTATTGCAGCATTGTTTACAATATCCAAATTATGGAAGCAGCCCAAGTGTTCCACTGACAGATGAACAGATAAAGCAGACGTGGTATATATACATACAATGGAAGAGTATTCAGCCATAAAAAAGAATGAAATCTTGCAATTTGCAACAACTTGCCAATACCGTATGATTTCACGCATATGTGGAATTTAAGAAACAAAACAAAAGAGACAAACCAAAAGAAAAAAAAAAACCCTCTTAAATACAGAAAACAAACTGATGGTTACCAGAGGGGAAGGGGGAGAGGAATGGGTCAAATAGGTTATAGGGAATAAGAAAACACTTATCTTGAGGAGCACATAGTAATATAAAACATTGTTGAATCACTGTATCGTACACCTGAAACTAATGTAAAGCTGCAGGTCAACTATTGCAGAATAAAAAATTTTTTAAAGTTGCTCCATTAATGCTTACTTAACAATGAATAAATGATTCTTAAAAAAAAAAAAAAAGTCCTTTCCTACCTACCAATCTATTTTTCCCTTTTCTGAAAACTGTTCCAGAGACTCGCCTCTTGTTCAGCTGTAACAGCTTCCAAGTTGGCCTGCCCTTACCTTATTAGTTTGTAGGATTCTTGCATGAAATGCAGCTGGCCAGGCATGAAGCAACAGGTAGGCATAGGAGCGAATTGCATAAACAGGGGAATACTCCCAAGTCTGAAACCCCTTCCCATAGATGAGGTAGTGTGTCTGAAAGTACAAAACAGATAGGTTCCGGGTTAAATTGGCCAGAGATCCTTGCTAGCAGGTTGCAAGTGAAGTTTCTAAGCAAAAACATTAAAGAGACAAAGATACACAAAAAATGCTGACATTCTCAATAAGATTTCCAATAGATAATCAAAATGACCCTTTAGTGAACAATCTTAGGACATTTTAAATTCCACAAGACTGTTTGGTCAACGTTAAAAGCTTGAATTTTACCCTCCACTTTTTTTTTTTTAGTATTCATTAGCCAAAACAGACAAACTCTAAATCTTACCTTGTCTTTAAGCTACCTAAACATCCTTTGTTTAAAATGTAAAATAGGATTAGAAAATTTCACCTCTAAATTTTCCTTAATAGGAAGTCAGCAGACTTACAAATGTGTAAATTAAGAAATAGCAGAATAAGCATACTACTTAGTAGCTTTTTTATTTTGACAAACATCAGAGTAACTTCAAAAGCTCAAAGCAAGTAGTTCCTTCTAGGGACTGGGATTTGGCTATACGAGCAATGGAACAGAGAGCTACTTTTTTCCCTTTAAGTTTCACAGTTGTTGGTTTTTTAAAAAGTATCTCTAAGTATTATTTTGATTTAAAATAATTTTTAAGAAAATTACAAATTACACCTTTTTTGCAAGAAGCCCAATTTCCTATGGCCTTCAACAACTGATCAGCTTAGAATACAAAATCATCAGCTTAGAATACAAAAGTGAAAATAAAGTTTACTACCAGTCACACGTGTGTATTACTTGCATCTTGATTGGCAACAAGGCCCCAAGCAGTGAAATCGAGAAAAAGAAAACTAAAGAAATCACCTACTGGTTCCCAGTAGTTGAAGGTTTCATCGCAGTCAGAGATGTTGCTTAAGAGAGCAGCACATAACCTTGCTGAGAGCAGACACTTGAAAGCAGTAGATCCCTCAGGTGCCCAGACTTGTCCTGCTTTGTTCCCAGACAACCTGCTCAGAAGTAAAGAAAAGATGCCTCAGGAAGACCCAACAACTAGAAGGCCTAAAACTGGACAGAAACGACAGGAATGGCAATGGTATCAAAGCACACTTAAGTAATTCACCTAACAAGTTAGTTGTTCTGAGAAATAAACAAGGGATGAAGAACTCTATTAATCTTAATTACTCCTTCCACCTCCTACTTGTAAGGGGTAAGCTCACTCATACACTTTAATTCATTGTATCCATGACACTCCTTGAAGGCCAGAAAGCTCTCATTTTCCTTTTCTTAACAAGGTCATTACTTTCCACGGCTTTACTCATCTCCCCCTTGTACAAATGCACAGAGGCCTAATTTGTGCGAAGCACATAACCTCCTCCCATTCCGTATGTTGTCGGCTCCGTTAATGCAGTCCTAACCCGCAGTGCCCCGGGAGAGACGGCTGCAGGTGCTGGAGGTTGCGGGGCCCACACTTTAGAGCAAGGGGTTAGGGCTTTGGAGGCAATGAAGGAGACTGTGAGACACAGCCAACAAAGGTATGCTCTTCGCTCTTGCCAACGTCTCCCACAGAGGCTCTGCCAACTCTAACACCACGACGCCAGCCCACTGTGGGCCTGGGCCAGCAAACAGCCTTGAAGCGACACTCCAGGCTTTCTTCCCAAGCAAAATGGGACCCACGGTGGGGGACCCGAGGAGGCGCGAAGGCCGGACGTGACCCGTCCTGGAAGAGCGGAAGGACCTGGGGGAAAAAGCAGCCTGGCCGCACCCGCGCCGCCGGGGGAGACCCTCCCGAGGACAGCTCCGCGCCGCCCTGCCGCCACGCCCCCGCCGCTCCCGCACACCTACTCGGTCCGTGGCTCCGCGCCGCTCGCCTCCCGGCTGCACAGCAGCTCCCGCAGCTTGTCGGCGGCCGAAACCGTGTCCCCGCCGCTGCCCCCGCTCCCCTTCAGGCGCTGACGAGCCCCTCGGCTAGCCATGGCACGGGTGAAAAAGGTAGAATTCGGCTCCCTACCAAAGTGGTGAGCGCGCAGACATAGCTTTGGCTGGCAACGGTGTCCGCCGAGGGACAAAAGTCCTTGACATGCGCAGAAAAGACTGAATTGTAGCGTTATTGGGCCAATTGGGGCAAATCCTAAGTAGAAAAGAAACGAGAACTGCGACTTGACTTTCACAACCGTATCTATCCCTTCAATATGTTTCTAACTGTGGCTATTCCTCCCCACTCCCCGCCTTCCTTCACTTTTCAGCACAAATGGAAAGTAACCAAACCACTCTACAGAGCACGCAGAGCTATTTATTCAGTTAAAGATAACAGGGCAGCTGCAGATGAAAGGGGAGGTCCTTAAAAGGTCGCGGACACCTTGCCCTTCTTCTATTTTGGTGACATCGATAGAGACAACCTGTAGCTAATTATCTGCTCCATAGAGACGAAGCCGTAATGGCAGAATGTAAAGAAAAATGAAAGCCCAAAGAAATTCTGTGCCACAAATGCAACGAGACAGGCACTGCCATTGCTACCACAGCAATTCGGTAAGCATTTTACACATTTCATCCATTTCCAAAATAATAAAACAATCTTGCTCTTATCAATAAGTAAATTATAGTAAGTAAATTGACGCCCAAGTTTGCATAGCTAGGAAATGGTGGAACCATATTCCAACCCACGTCTGCCTTATTACAAAGCCCATACGATTCCCACCAGGATGAGGTGAAAGCTCCTGATGTCAACAGATGATAGCACACCTGTGACTCCCAGGGGTTATTCATCTGTTCCTGATACCCTGCCCACAGAGTTCTATCCCATCCTGTGGACCTCTGTACCAGTAGCAGAAATGGGCCTTACAAGAAATGTTAAAGGGATTTCTGTAAGTGGAGGGTAAAAGCCACTTTTGAAGTATGACAATTATGAAAGGAAAAAATTTCATGAGTAAACGCAAATACAGCAAAGGCGGTAATCACTTATAAAGCTAGTATGAAGGCTAAAAGACTAAAGTAGTAAAGTGAATTATATCTAAAAAAATTTAGTTAGGGAGACTCAAGATAAAAGGCTGTAAAATATGCCAGTGTATACATAAAACGTGCAGGGAGAGTAAAAATTAAGCTCTTTTAGGTCTTTAAACTTAAATGACCATCAAGTTAATATACATTGCTATATACTAAGGATGTTAGATAGAGGGAGTGCTGAACTTGACAGGGTCCCAGGTTATTATTTAATACTAAAATTATTGACAATGGCGATTGATCATAGTGCTCAATTCCCACAGGCAAGTATTAGGTACCAAGTTTGGTCACCGCAGCGTAGTTGTATCTCCTACAGAGACCTCCTCTCATTTCACTCGAGTGCAGGTCCCTCCCTGCCCCTACCTAGGAGTGCTACAATAGCATCCTAACAGGGGTCTCCCATTTCAAATTCATCCTATACAACACTGTCCGGTTAACTTTTTTCAAAGATTCTAATGTTTATGTTTGAGAGACAGAGGCAGAGCACAAGCTGGGGAGGGGAAGACAAAGAGGGAGACACAGAATCTGAAGCAGGCTCCTGGCTCTGAGCCATGTGCACAGAACCTGAGATGGGGCTTGAACTCAAGAACCATGAGATCATGACCTGAGCTCAAGTCAGACGCTTAACCAGATGAGCCACCCAGGCGCCCCTATCCAATCAATTTTCAAATGCACTATTCTGTATTGCCTCCTTAATCAACAATTACCAGTTTTCCTATTGCCTGCCAAATGAAGTACACTTTATTCTAGCATTCATTTCTTACATCAACTAAATCCAGCCCTAACCTACTTTCCTGATCTAATCTCCCACTACTTCCCTATACACATTTACATTCCAACTAACTAGCCTGAAAAGTGCCCCAGATGCTTCCTTATCTGTACCTCTGCCTGGAATGCAAGTCCTCTGTGGGGAAATAAGATCTACTTACGTAAATAGGTTAGAAAAACGCTTAGGGCATGAAAGCCACCACCACGGAGTGAAAACGCCTGAAGATAGCTAGTAAGATATTGTAATGGGATCACGAGTAACTTGTTATATACTTGCAGGAAATTACATTCCACCTGACACCAATATACTATTATACTTTGATCACAAACTCCACTTGCCCCCCAGACCCTTTGCTTCTTACACACACAAGTTAATCATTACTATCTGATTGTTTTCTTCACGTTTACCACATGTGTAAGATCTTGAGCGCTCAGTAAATACGGAGACGAAAGGCCTGTTTGGGGATCTTGTCTCCTCCTGGATGTTAGCCTCTCTTGTGTTCAATTCTGCATCCACTCTCTTGCTGGACAAAAGAGAACTCCAAACTCATAGTCTGTGACAGTCCTCCTTGCCTAACAGTCCTCCTGTCACATCGCTACTCTTGTTTTAAGATCCAGCTCAAATGCTACCTTGTCCATGTACTAGGCACCATTGGGGATAGAAGCAAGCTATAAATCACATTACCTGCCCTCTATTCATTTATAGTGTATGTAGAAAGCTAAGCAACAAATGTATCCATAAGAGATCTTTGTTCTTTACCCCACTCCCCAAACTGTTATGCCAGTTTTCCCATCCCCGTTAATGATACTTCTGTTCTTCCAGATCAAAAACCATAGTCAGTCCTGCTTGATTCCTGTTTCTTCAGCCCCACACCCTTCACCCATGCACATGTAGTTCATCAGCAAATACTTTTAAATATTACTCAACCCAACAACGTCTTACCATCCTGGTCCAGGTCACCATTGTCTCTGGTTGTGTTACTGTAATAACCTCCTAATATGTTTCTTGGCTTCCATTCTTGCCTTCCCACATGTTTTTCTCCAAACACAAGAATAAGACAGTTATTTCCTACTGAGTTTACAATATAAGTCCAATCTGTGGAGACTATTCATTAACAGGAACATCCATTAATTAATATTAGAGTACTCTATCATTCTGTAGAGTCCTGGGCTGAACCAATGAGCTGAGCCAATCTCCCAGTGTCTCTTAGAGATGCTTGTAACAGAAGCCTCCAAAATATAGGAGGACTAAGTTTACAGTTGAGAGGCTACTAATGAAGAAGACTAATTTGGAAGAAATAACAATGGCAGAAGGAAAATGGGCTTTAGAGTCAGACCCAAGTGTGAACTCTAGTTAATCTGACATTAACCAGTTCCATGACTTCAACAGTAGTCAACCATGGAATAAATATTGTAATAATACCAATACTAATTATGGAGACTTTCAACTTACCCAAGCTAATAAATGTTGGTCTGACTCCAAAAACCACTCTAGTAAGTTGATGTAATGATGTAATACAATAGGGTTAAAGGAAGAGGAATTAGCAGTGTGGAAAATATAAATATAAGACACTCAAATTCTACTGCATCTTCAGCAACAGAGCATCTAAAGTACAAGACAGTTTTGTTGTATTTGTTTTCCTAGTCATTTTTCAGCATCAAAATACTGTAAACTCCAAAGGTCACCAGTCACATTATAGTCTGTTAAGTTTAAGTGACAGAGCCACAAGTTTCTTTTTTACTTTTTAATATTTTTAATTGCTTTTTATTTTAGCAAGACAGAGTGCATGAGCAGGGGACAGGGGCAGAAGGAGAGAGAGACTCTTAAGCAGACTCCATGCTCCACGCAGAGCCTGACACAGGGCTCGATCCCATGACCCTGGGATCATGACCTGAGCCAAAATCAAGAGTTGGATACTCAACACTCAACCCACTGAGCCACCCAGGTGCCCTGAGCCACAAGTTTCTCTAGAATCAACCAACACTGGCCAAAGTCACAAGGTTAAAGATTTTACAAAAAACACAGTTCAGAAAAGACTACTAGTTATAACTTGGTCTTTTTCATTGGCATCTGCACCCATACCCACAGCCACGGGGATCACTCTGGAAAAATGAATTTACTAAACTACCGAGGTATTACATGTAGTCTTTGCTGAATCTCTTTCCTAAGCTGCGACTGCATTGATGACACCTGTTGCTGGGGGAGGGCTTTGTCACACGTCTGGTAAGTCAACCTATAGCAGAGACTGACCTGTTGAGTCTTTGGATGCTGAAAACGACTGAGGAACTGTATGGATATGACAGTGTCCCGGGACACTGCTCGGGCCACCGTATGAAATTCTAGTTCATCAAATCCTTTCTTCTCATCTAACCAAAAACTAATATCATGAACATAGCATGGAGGATACAGGCAATAGCTTTTAAAGGGTTCTATACTCCCAGAGACAAAATTTTTCAGGAAACGGTGATCAAAGGTCCACAGCATCCTCCAGTCAGAGATGCCCCAGACAAGCATAGCTAGTAGGTCCAAGTTCATAGACACAAACATAAAACACTGGTCTTTGTGCATAATGCCTGTAGCAGATGTGACGACAGACCCAATAATCAGAGCCTTGGCACAATCTGGGCCAAAATTAGGACGCTTCACATTAATAATATACTCTTTGCCATTTGGTTGAAAGACAAATTCCACTGAACTGCTCAGCTGAGAGCCCTCCAGCAATGTGTGGGTGAGAAGGCTATCAAGAAAACCCTTCAAGTGCTCCAGTAGTGACTGAAGACAACCATCCTTCAGATTTTTATTAAACCCGATGACAAATAAAGTCTCATGAAATGCTGGCATTGTGAAAGGCAAGATGCGGCACTTCCGAAAGACAGGTCCACTGAGGATGTGCAGGTAACCTGGGACAAAGTCTGGTGCTTGGATGACAGCCTGAACATGAACTAGGAGAGAAGGCCTAAGGCAGACCGTGGTTTGGCCATAGCTTTCTTCATGAGCTTCTTCCTTACTGTTGCTTCCAGGATCCTTGAGAAGGCTAAGTTCTGAAAATAGCTCCAGAAAGTCCTCCATGTCTTGTGTTGTCCCATCAGTCAGGGACTCAGAATTTGAGTCATCTTCACGGAGACTAATCCAAAAGGCAGCTGACAGAATGTCACAGTTCCAGGAAGTGAGAGCACTAGTGCTTCCCTGTGGCAGCAAAGGGAAGGGACGCTTCAGCCTTTTTAGAGGGAAAACTTTGCCCAATTCCGCAATGAGTTTCTCATTAATGGTTCTGACAGGATGACATGAAGGTGCTTCTAGGAAACCTCTGTTTAAGCACACATAAAATAACTTTTTAAACTTGAAACAATAAAGAGTTAGAATGGATCTAAAATTAAAAGCACAAATAGCACAGAAAAGAATTATCTTTAAAGTGATCCTGAAAGCAAATAAA